AAGAATGTACATTATGCAAGCCCCTCCACGTTTTTTTTTTTTTTTTATTATTATGGGGACAATGTAAAGAATTCCAAGCTCATTCCCACGAGAAGAATTGAAAAAGATGTATAAAAAAAAGAAAGAAATAGAATGTTTATCACTTTCTCTCTACGTTTTTTATTTTATTGTCTTTTTGGCAAAATGGATCTTCATGCCCACAAGAAAACAGAGTGTTTTTCAGACAATGCTTTTATTTTTCTTCAGCAATGTTTACAATTAGAACTTTTATTTAACTATGATTAGAACTGTATTCTTTTAGCAATGTTTAAAAAAACCGATGATTTTTAAAAAAACAATGATTAGAATTGTATGATTAGAACTGTAATAAAAAACCGATGATTAGAACTTAGAACTGTAATAAAAAAACGATGATTAGAACTGTAATAAAAAACAATGATTAGAAATTAGAACTGTAATAAAAACAATGATTAGAATTGTAATAAAAACCGATGATTAGAACTTGTAATAAAAAAAACAATGATTAGAACTGTAATAAAAACCGATGATTAGAACTGTAATAAAAAAAACAATGATTAGAATTGTAATAAAAACCGATGATTAGAACTGTAATAAAAAAAACAATGATTAGAATTGTAATAAAAAAAAAACTGTGTAATAAAAAATGAAGAAAATAAAAAAAACAATGATTAGATTAATAAAAACCGATGATTAGAACTGTAATAAAAAAACAATGATTAGAACTGTAATAAAAAAACAATGATTAGAATTGTAATAAAAAACAATGATTAGAACTGTAATAAAAACCGATGATTAGAATTGTAATAAAAAAACAATGATTAGAATTGTAATAAAAAAAACAATGATAAAACCGATTAGAATTGTAATAAAAAAAAACAATGATTAAACATAATGATTAGAAATTAGAACTGTAATTGATTGTAATAAAAAACATTTTAAAAAAAAAATTTAGAATGTTAAAAAAAAATTGAAAATTTATGATTAAATTGTAAAAAAAAACAATGAAAAGTATTTAAAAAACAATATTAGAACACAAAAACTTACAAAAATAATTTTATTTATATTTCAACATTCTAAAAACCAATACAATTAAAACTAATGCAATGCAATGCAATATTTATCATTTACCAATTTATAAAGAAATATGGAAACAACTTTTTTATTCATAAATTTATACAAAATTTACTAAATTATAAAAATATGTGAAATAACTTCATGTATTATTAATTTATTAAATTATTTATTTATTTATTATTATTATTTTATTTATCAATATTATTTATTTATTAAATTTATGTAATTTCATTAAATTTTTTATTTATTTATTAGTATTACATTTATTTATCAATATTATTTATTTATTAAATTTAAGTAAATTTATTAGATTATTTATTTATTAATATTATATTTATTTATCAATATTGTTTATTAAATTTATTAACGTTAATTAAATTTATTAAAAATATTAAACACATTATTTATTAGGTTTTAATTTAAAATATAATTTTATACAGTGTAACCCGGATATAAGAGAGTTGTCGGGACCGGAGAAGAAGTCTCTTATATCCGGGTTTCTCTTATATCCAGGTTTAGTCTATTTTGTTTAGGTAACACAGGCTCTAATTTGGGACCAGAGAAAATCTCTCTTATATCAGGTTTCACTGTATTTATGCTATTCTAAAAACTAATACAATTAAAGCTAATTCAATATTTATCATTTACCAATTTATAAAGAAATATGGAAACAATTTTTTATTCATAAATTTATACACATTTACTAAATTATAAAAATATGTGAAAGAACTAAGTAAATCCTTATTATTTACCATTTTATAAAGTTCAAATTAATTGAGAGTTAGCCAATGTTTTGCCAACCATTCCAATAAACAATATAACAAATAAATATTACAAAGAAACAATCTATTAAATAAATAGTGTTTTTTATTTTTGTTTTAAATTCTCAAAAACAAAAAATGTGTAAATTCACTTTCATATGTCTAGGTTTTATTACAATTCTAACCATTGCTTTTTAAAAATATAAACATTGCCAAAGAGTAAAGGTAGTCAAAATAAAAGCAGTATCATGGGAAAAACTGTACTTTTGATACTCGGGTTTTTTATTTTTTTATTTTTTTTGGACAAAAGGTCCATGTTTGCTGTCTTTTTTTTATTTCTCTCTGATTTTAAAAAAAAATATTTTTTTACATTTTGACTCACTCAGGGTCACCAATGAAATTCATAATGAAATACGAAAATAACAAATTCATTCTCATTTTGAAAACTAGAAATAGATGTAAAAAAAAAATTTTTTTCTTTTCATCTTTTTTATCTCTTTTTCATCAAAATTTCTCATTCTGTTTTTCCTTTTTTTTTTTTTTTTTTTCTTTTTCTCAAAATGTGGTTGTCAGCCATGTCTTCAGAAACCTATTTTCCTGAAAAACTGTTTTAAGAGAAAGATTTAATAAATTTCAAGCACTGGCTGTTCAGTCAATGAATACCAAATGTTTCCTTATCAGGAAACGGCTAATATTATCATTACAATGTGCAAAGTTCCTATGAAAGATTGTGAGAGATTTATAGCTGAAAAGAGTTCTTTACTGTTTCATCAATTTCTCATTCTCTTTTTCTTTTCTTCTCTCTTCTCAAAATGTGGCTTCTCGTTATCAATCATGTCTTGTAAAATGGTCTGTATAAAAAAAAAATGTAAAGAAGATATATATTTATTACTAAAAATGTTATTTTAGTTGATACACATTTTTAAGTGTTCACTCCCCCCCCTTTTTTTTGTTCACGTTGAAATTAAAGTCAGGTTAGATAAAAAGAAATTCTTATTAAAGACAAAAGGTATCTTTCATAATAGTACATAATAGTAAGTTTAGCTTGGGAAAATCCGGTGCTTCGATGTGCAGTTTGGGCAATGTTCCAATTCCAGTTGCGTTCATTATAATCACTTACATGCAAATACCTTTCGGAAAGGTATGAATCCGCCTCTTCTCCCACCAGAAATGGGTTAATTATTATGACTTGTATCACTAAAGCCATCATTATCTCCCAAAAAATAATAAAATTACACACAAAATATTTAAATTTTGGCATTAAATAACCCATGGAGATTGTTATTCTACTAAACAAAACAAACCAACCAACTTATCTATTGTCTAATCCAGTGTTTCTCAACTTTTTTTTTTACTTCAGGGTGCACTTGTAGAATAACTAAAACTCTGGGGTGCACTTTCAATCTTAATAAGAAAAAAATAGTCATGAAATAGGAAAATAATAAAGAAGGCTCCTGAAATAAGCATTTATTTTTACGACATTACATTGTATATTTAAATATGCTTATTGGGGAAACTGTGCTTGATATGTCTTGGTAACTTTTTGAACGATAGGCCTTATATGTTATGCCATGAGAAAAGGTTTATCACATCCTTATTAAAGAGTAAGGAATTTAGCATTCAGTTTAAAATATCAAATTACAAAGAATTTACTTAAAAATAGAAGTTATGTGCTTTGTGTCTCTAACTTTTTTTTATAAAGATTTTTTTTTTTAAATATAAAAATAATTTATAAATTGCTCTTCTGTTAAATTGAGGCACAGTGTTTTCTTTCAGGGCACATTACTGCACCTGGGTGCACCATTTGAAAAATACTGACTTATTGCTAAAATAAATTGGATTGATCTTCTTGATAATTATTTTGAGCAGTAGACCCACAAAACATCTGCAGTATTGTTAATTAATATATAATATATAATTATATGTATAATATATATATAATAATATATATATATATATATATATATATATATATATATATATATATATATATATATATATATATATCTTATGCCTTGAGGAAAGCAAATAGGAAAGGTTTATCCCCTTCTTATTAAAGATTAAGGAATTTAGCATCCAGTTTAAAATATCAAATGACAAAGACTAGACTTAAACATTGAAGTCATGTGCTTGGTTTGTCTAGCTCTTTTTTTCATAAATAAAGATTTTTTAAATATAAAAATAATTTATAAATTGCTCTTCTGTTAAATTGAGGCACACCTTGCTACTTTCAGGGTGCACCCGGGCACAGCGGTTGAGTTATACTGGTCTAATCTGAGGGGTTCTAATTTGTCTTTATAAAAACAGGAAAATGGGTATGTCCACTTGAATATGTGTATCAATTACAATAATGTTTATAGTAATAAAAATGTCCATTTGAAATCCATTAACTACTGAATATATATATATATATATATATATATTTTATATATATATATATATATGAAAATGTCTCTGATTTAACCAGTAGAGAAGACAATATTTATGAATAAAAATGACAATAGGAAAACTGATATTGTTATTACTGACGCGTTTTTGTCCAATGTGGACTTTATCAAAGCAAAATACGAAAGTCCACATTGGACGAAACGCGTCAGCAATTACCAGTTTTCCTATTGTCATTTTTATTCATAAATATAAATATATATATATATATATATATATATATATATATATATAATGATTAATAATTGATATGAAATATCTGTACAAAGTATTATAAAACAGAAGACGTGAATACCTGTTTGTTGTTGGATTTTTTATGTACTTAGTGACCTTTTATACTTTCTCATGTGAAAGAAGCAGACCATCAATAATTAAATAAAAAAAATACCTAACAACCAAAATGGTTTTCAAATATTCCATCTTTTCATATATGAGGAAGTGTGCTTTTCTTAAAAGGGAAAATAGTCTTGCTAGACTATGATGCTCTCTGTAGCTAAGTGGTGAAGCATGCTGGATCAAATGGTTGTTTCTCTACAAAGAGGAATACAGGTTTAATCCCAGCAGGAGAGCACATTTAAGATTTCTCAAATGGAATGCTCAGGCTGATAGACATAATACACAGTTTAAAAGAAGAATGAATATGGGGTGTCTATTTCAAATATGAGTAACCATGTTAATAAGGTTTGGACCAATAACAAA